ATAGATCCTCATGTGTTTGAATTGAGTATAATTCAAAGTGATAGTTCCATATCATTTCATTCCATACTTACACTTTAGTTTGCATAAAACGCTTGCATCAAAATCATGGTTATGGTAGAGGGAGAATTTCGTTCGAATTCGTTGGTCTAAACCATTTGGAGTGCTCATATGGTTTGACGTGGTTGTTGTATCTTGGGAGATGATTGCTAGAAACCGTTAGCACTGATGCAGGGCAAATTCATCTTAAAGACAAAGTGTCAAACACTTACCTCGGCCGATCACATCACTTGCATCTCATTTTTTTTTTCCAATTTCATTCTAATTTAGTATTTCATTTCGTAAAGTAACTATATTCTTTTGATTTGGCTAATTTATTTATGTGTTTTATTGCAAGATTTGAATTAAAGAATGACACTCGTTCAAGATTGGAAAGTGATGAATCCATATTCATATATTTGAAGTCGGTAATTCACTAATTTGTCTTCTCAAATCAGATTTCGATAAGTCGAATGATATTTCGATTTGAAACATATTAACGGCATGCTCTTGATGAATATAATATACACATTATCGGTGTAAAATCTCCTACAATCTTAAGATGAATCTTGTTGATGTGCGTGTTATAATGGAAATCATGATATTCCATGGATAATTCCAAAGTCATAGATAGCCCACGATTTGGATAAAATGAAATTAAACATTTTAATTAAAAAAATTAAAAATAATAAAAAATTTTAAAGCTAAAATAGCTGAAAAAAATTAAAAATAAAAATAAAAAATCGAGCCGGTTCGGCTCGGGCCGAGCCTTATTTTTTTTGGCCGGGCTCGGCTTGGCTCGTTGACATAACTATGTGTGGTTGAAAAAGAAGGAAAAATTATTGATGTAATGAAAAAATTATTTTATGGAAGAATGCGTGGTTGAAAATGAGTGGAAGAATGAAAATGAAAATTTTAATGTGATTCAAACAGGGGCTAAAAAATAAACGGTTATTCGTTGTTCACTTATTTTCACATAAAATTACATATCCACCAATCATCTCAATTTTATTTTTATGCTGTTCGATTTTTTTATCAGGATTTTTTGATTGATTTTTGCAAAATACTTTTGTTCACTCTACTTTCCTCTTTTTTTTAACAAATTTTTTATTTTTTATTTTTATTATCCAATCTATTTATATGATTTCGTGATTTTTATTCTACGAAATTCACAAATTACTTTGGCTTGCTCTATTTTCTTCGATTTCTTCCTTCTACAAATATCATTAGCTAACAATTTTTTTTATCTAAAATAATTTTCATTTTTTTCACTGTCCAATTTTGTTTATATGATTTTTATTTTCCTCATTTTTAATATATTATATTCTTCTCAAATTACTTTTATTTTTTATTTATTCGTTTTTTGTTGCTTCTTCTTTGAATTAGTTTGATTTTCTTTTACAAATTCCTTCACCTTAATGTTTTATTCTACGTTTTTTCAAATTTATTTTCCTCTTTTTTTTTTCTTTTCTTTTTTTTACTTTTTTTTTTTTGATAAAATAAATTTTCATTTTCTACTTGACAGGATGGAGAATCAGAGAGTGGATGCAAGGCCATCTCGAGCATAAGGCTACTTGAATAATCATTTAATCTTGTGTTGACAATGTCGAAAATTTTGAGACTTGTATATTTTTTTAGTTCAATAGTTTAAGGCATTTGATCTTCCTTTTATTTTTCATTTTTGTTTGTTTATTTTGTTATTGAAATTTAACAAAATTTTAAACTATTAGTTAGTGGTTACCACTAAAGTAATAAATCAGAAATTTAATATATACCATATTTCTCAGTTACTACTTGTACTCTAAATATATTTTGCTCTTCTAAATTTCTAATAACACTACTAAAGAAAAATTGATAGATAACACAGTCCAATCAATCATTGTAAAAGACCTCCTCATGAAGACAACGATTTTATGTAAATTTCGTAAAATAAAAATCACGAAAATCAGATAAACAGGTCGTACAATAAAAAAGTGAAAATAAATTTTGTAAAAGAAAAAATTAGCAAATAGTAGAAAGACTCTAAGCATATTACAGAAACATAAAAAAGAACTGCAAGAGAATTGGAAGCAGCCAAGCTGATTAACTCAACTGTCGAATTCAACACTTCTCTGGTGAAGGAAAAACCAACTCAGAGTGATTAACAGAAGGGAGAGACGATCGAGTAAGGATTAGTACTGCTTGTTAACATAATGGAAATGGATTGAGCCTTTTAAATGGACAAGAATATTGTTATGTGAATTCTCAATTGATTAATCGAAGTCTCTGCAACAACCAACCTTGCCTATCTGGCTGCTTCAAGTTGAAAAAACTTTTTTTAAAACTATAAGTCAAAACATGATAACCACTCTGAGTTTGTAAATGTCTTCCATCTTGAAAATCATGCACCGCACGTAAATCCGCGTTGCAAACGAAAATAACAACAGCATCCACTTATATCATTAGCTATATATACAACGCCAATATACCACCTTCAAACAAGCAATTAGATTATCTAACCACAAAGATTAAAAAATAAAGAAGTATTCCAGCCATGGCTTCTGTCAATCCTTATGGCAAACTGAATGAAGCAGAACAAGAGAGGCTCGTGGCACGTAGAAATACGAGACGAAGAATCACAATCATTGGCGTATCTTCCATTGTTTTTGTAGCTGTTATTGTGGCTACTGTGGTTGGAGTGACTCAAAGCAAAAATGGCAAATCCGAGGGCCAAAATAAGTCCATATCTTCTGATATCAAAGCTTTGTGCAATGTTACTTTGTATCCAGATTCATGTTACAATAGCATGACTCCTATGGTGAAGTCTGGCAATGTCAAGCCAGAATATATCTACAATTTGGCTGTCCAAGTTGCGATAAACGAGCTTTCTAAGGCCTCGAAAGATTTCTTTGACAATGGAATCAAGAAATTCAATATCACAGATCAGATGACAGTTGCAGCATTGGAAAGTTGCCAGGAATTGATTTCTCTTGCATTGGATCATCTTAATGATTCACTGTCCACAGAGGACATGAAAATGTTTGAGGCCTTTGAAGATCTCAGGACATGGTTGAGTTCTGCGGGTACTTATCAGCAGACATGCATTGATGGCCTTGAAAATTCATCAAATGGGTTACACAGTATTCTGGTTCAAAACCTTAAGAATTCCACTGAATATACTAGCAATAGTCTGGCAATCATTAGCGCAATAGAAGACTCAATTTATTCATTGGGTGGGATTGGAAGGCGTCGTTTGATGAGTTTCAACGGTGATGAAGCGCCGAATTGGTTGTCATTTAAGGACAGGAAGCTTTTACAAGCTCCAAGTTCAAAGATAAAGGCAGATGCCGTGGTGGCGAAAGATGGCTCTGGAAAATACAAGACAATTTCAGCTGCCCTTAAAGCTGTGCCTGAGAAGAGTAAGAAGAGATTCGTCATCTATGTGAAGAGGGGAGTTTACTTTGAAAATGTTAGAGTTGAGAAGAAGAAATGGAACGTCATGATCATTGGTGATGGAAAGGATGCAACCATTGTTTCTGGCAGCCTCAATTTTGTTGATGGAACTCCCACATTTCAATCTGCAACATTTGGTAAGTTTTACTATAGCTCAAAATCCCCCATCCTCCCGGGTTTCTTACATCTAGACACAAGGTATGTTTGTTATGCAACTTATTTTGATTTTCCGATGTAGCTGTGTTTGGCCAAGGATTTATAGCCCGAGACATGGGATTTCGCAACACTGCTGGAGCTGCCAAGCATCAGGCAGTGGCCTTGATGTCGACTGCTGATCTCTCCGTCTTCTTCCGATGCAGCATGGATGCATTCCAAGACACTCTCTACCCAAATTCCAATCGCCAATTCTACCGTGAATGCAACATATATGGCACAGTCGATTTCATCTTCGGGAATGCTGCAGTTGTGATCCAGAACTGCAACATTCTCCCCAAGAAGCCCATGCCTGGCCAACAGAACACCATCACTGCACAAGGCAAGATCGACCCGAATCAGAACACCGGAATTTCGATTCAAAACTGCACCATTTTGCCTGCAGGAAATCTCACTGGAGTCAACACATTCTTGGGGAGGCCTTGGAAAAATTACTCCACGACTGTCTACATGCAAAGCATGATGGGAACATTCATTGATCCAAAGGGGTGGTTGCCATGGGTGGGCACTGGTGCACCAAACACCATATTTTATGCTGAGTTCCAGAATTTTGGCCCTGGAGCTGTTACCAAGAATAGGGTCGAATGGAAAGGCTTGAAGCTTAATCTTAGTGCTAGCCAAGCTAAAAAGTTCTCAGTTAATTCATTTATTGATGGGCAAAAATGGCTTCCAGCTACAGGTGTAAGCTTCAAATCTGGGCTTTGACACTTAAAAAAGAAAGATTTTTTGAAGCCCACCATATTCACATTTGTTTGATTCGTACTGTCTGTTTTGAAGTTTTCTTCCTTTTTCCCACACAAATATTTATACTTGTAAGCAATTGATTTGAAATCAAAATGAGCAAATTCAATAAATTATTTGTTGAAAATATTAGACAGTCAACTGTGTACCGTGCAGCCCACAAACAAACTGAGTGCAATGCAAGTAAGCTAATGTTGTTGAGCACCAAAAAAAGGTTATTGTACAGAATGAAACATTTTTGTTTGTGAAACGAGGATCCCAATTATGGATTTCTCAGTTCGAGAAATCAAGATAAGAGAGATCGGATGACTCCTTTGTCAAAGAAATCCAGAGATCAAATTAAAATTTGAAGAGCTGCGACAATTAATGCCCTTTTGCACTAGAACAAGAACTATTTACGGCATCTCCAAAGGTAGCATCAAAACACCAAATTTTGGTGTAAAAGCTCCCCAATGTGACACCAAAGTTTGCACCATTTTGGTGCATCTCCAAAGGTAGCACCAAAACACCAATTATGGTGTAAAAGCTCCCCAGTGTGACACCAAAGTTTGCACCATTTTGGTGCATCTCCAAAGGTAGCACCAAAACACCAATTATGGTGTAAAAGCTCCCCAGTGTGACACCAAAGTTTGCACCATTTTGCACCAAAATGGTGCAAAGTCAAATTTACCCTTTTTTCATTTGTCAAACTAATTGATGGAGGGTATTTGTGTCGTTTGTGCTATATATTTTTTAAAACAATAAATTATTATTATTATTTGCATTTAAAATAAATTTTAATAAAGTAAAAAATAATAAATAAAATTGAAAAACAAAAAAAAAAACTTAAAATATAACAAACACAATCATTTAAAGTTAACACGAAATAAATTTCAACAACACGATTATTTAAAGTAATTTATGTAGTTGTAAAATAAATAAATAAATATTTAGTACAAGGTTTTGACGCCGGCAGAATAGTGATTATTCTACAAGCTGGAATCAATTGACAAAAACAGAGAAGAACGCAAGAGAAACACAAAGAAAAACGAGAAATATCTTTATTATTCAACAACTGAATGAAAATAACCCACAAGCCGGGTTAAATAGCCAGAAAATAATAATTGTCGGAATTTTGCCAAAAATAGCAAAATCATATTATTCATACCAAAATAAAATACTTAATAAAAAGAAATAATATCACCAAAATTCGGCTCAAATCGAGCAATTATTCTATGTCAAAAAGGAAACCGAAATATTACCATAAATGGCAAAAAATAACTTAAATCAATGATTCGAAGGGAAAACAGCTGAATTTGACCTCAAAACCGATGCACACTGAGCATAGCTTGGTGCCCACGACGTGCGCGCCGAAACGAGCTTTCGGAATTGGGGTCACGGGCGTGATTCTGACAACCGTAACCAAAGTTATGGCCAAAATACCAAAACGTGTTCAAAATTGACCCCAATTAGGAAATGTCGTCGATTACTTTCCATTCTTACGCCGATCCGCCAACTCATGGTATGTTAGCGCCATCAACGAGTTATCTGACAACTCAGCTTCGTCTGACTCGGACCCTCCTACATCAGGTTTGGTGTAAAATAATGCAAAATTTACTACAATTTTTGATGTAGGGTTCGAGATAGCCTTAATTCTCATTCAAATATCGTGGGTCTAAAGAATATGTTTCAACTTTTCATCCCTCCAGCCTCTTAATTTTCTCAATGAGTTCTACTCTTCTTGTTAGCTCATCATCTTCATCGTCGTGGTCTTCTTCTTGTTCATCCTGTCTCTCTTCATCACCATCAGCCATTGTTATACGGATATATTTGGCTTCAGTTTCTCCAACTTCCTGGTTCTCACAAGAACAAGAACCATTTCCAATTCCCGCTACACCTTTGTTGCTTTCATTGTCAATGCTTGGAAAAGGGTTGGATTCCACCTCATTAAAATGTGAACTAGACTTTGTGCTGGCAACAAGTAGAATGCCTATGAGCAGATTGCAGAAACAGAAACGGCAAGAGAGTTGGAAGGAGCCAAACTGATGATCTCAAATGTCGAATTCAACATTTTTCAGGAACGAGAACAGAAGAAGGTTGAGCAAGTATTAGCACTGGTTGTGACTTGTGAGCATAACGGAATTAGATTAGCCTTTTAAATGCTCAAGACCAACCAAAATAAGTGTGCGGAGGAAGTTTTTTTTTTTAGCACAAGTCTATGTTTGGGCTCCATTTTTATAGAAACTCATTTTTTCGACATTTATTTTCAATCATTCATTCTCTTATAAAATAATTTTACAAATAAATCAAAAAAATTTCCACATTTTTTAATCACATATTTTCCAACTTGTTACTTTTCTAAAATACATTCTCTCGAAAAAATGGAGCCCAAACTACGGCTAAGGATTTGACAATGAGGTGTTGTGTGAAAGCTAATTTCTTTGAAATTGTTGTATGCATTAGAATATTGAATGTCTATTCTTTATTATTGATGGGTTTTAAATTCGCAAGATTAATCAAAGTGTTGAGTTTTGATATCTAATGAATCTCAGGTTATGATATAAACGTCGGATTGAATTTTATAGGCATTGGCCGATAAGTGAAATTGTTACCAACAACCAAATTCAAAGGCTCGATCCAAAAACAATGTGGATCATTGGAAGTAACTTAAGAAATTAATTATACTCACTACCCATATATATTTATCTATTAGATGGTTTTGAATATTGGCCCATTTAACCATTTTATTAGTCTAACTAAAGCCTAATCTACCCTATAAACATGTTATATTTGCCCTAACCATTGTGTTTGTGATTTGTAAGAAAAAAGAGAAGAAAACATGTATGAAAAGAGAGAGAATTCAACAGCCCCTATGGTGAAAAAAACATGTGGCTTCTTTTTCATGTTGGCATCCTATTTTGTCTTCTTTCATTGTTTATTGTCCTTACATTTGTGGCTACTAATCAACCCTTACATTTGTGGCTAGTAATCAACACAGTTATCTTGTCCTTTGTGGGTGGTATTGAGGAGCAACTGAGATGAATATATTAGTTGTAGGTTGGAAACATTTTGATTGGTTGTTTGATAACGGAAGATAACGTGAAGTTGAGCACAAAAAATCACTGATTCGAAGATCTTGGAGCGAGCTTCCGCTAGAATTGGTATAAGAGCTTCAAGGTGGTAGATTTGGCTCAAGATAATTGACCAAAAACCAACTAGAAAATTATCATAATCGAAGCAGAAAAAAGATTGAAAGAGGTCCGAAAAAGGGCCTAAAAATCATACCTCTAATTGCAATTTTCAGCCAATCCAGAGACCTGTTGGTGAAACGGGGGCCATATTCGAGACATGCAAGTGAAGGCACAGCTGGATGGCCAACACGTAAGGTGATCGATGGCACGTGGCGGCTCCAGCGAGGCGCGTGAGGTTATTTTCAGCGATAGCATCTGAAGATAGATTGCTCCTGGAGGCTTGGTGGACCCTATGGTGGTGTTCGATTTCTGTTTTGGGTAAATTTTTGGTTCTGGATAGTTTTTCCCCTTGGACATTCGGGTTCTTTTTTGCATTGGCTGCTGCAGTTGATGTAGACTTTATGACGAAAGTGGTGGCCTTATAGTGATAAATTCGTATCTCTTGTTATTTACGGACTCTGATTGGTCCGCTCTGATATATTAGATTATCTTATTTAAACATTAGCGAATTATCGTGTGTGGTGACAATAAGATTGAGGTTACCGTGTGAGGTAACCATTGTTTGTACTAGAAATTTAGGAAGTATTTGTCATATTTGAAGCGTTGTTTTTTATTGCAAGTTGATATTTGTTTTTGTGCTTTAATTGTCGTTTAGTCACTGCGTGAGACTACATTGCTAGAGAATTCAAATTCTTGTTGGCATACCTTCATGTTGCATTGATTATTCTATGAGAACATCTGGACTTGACCAGTTTGAACATTTCCTTGATCCTAAGATCTCGAGTCTTACGAAACCCTAGAATATAGAACATTGTATACTGTGGTTTTAAAATTACTTTTGTGACATATTTCTGCACTGTGATAGTTCTTTTCTCAAAATGCCTTCATATTTCGAAGTTGAAATTTTCAATAGGAAATGAGATTTTTCAATTTGGCAACAATAGATGAAGGATATTTTGGTTCAACAAAAAGTTTCAATTCTGCAAATTTGATAGAAGTACAAAAAAGAAGAATATGACAAACTTACTTACACTTCAATAATTTTATACTAAAGAATTTTGGAAAAAGTTGGAGGATTTATATTTGCTTAAATATACTCCTAATAAGTTGTACTTGTTTGAAAGATTTTTCAATTTTAAAATCGATCATTCAAAGGATCTTGATGACGATCTAGATATTTTTAACAAATTTATTCAAAATATCGTTAATTGTGATGATGATGATGATGTATTATAAAGCCATCATTTTGTTGAATGTTTGACTCATATAGGGAGGTTAAGAATGCAATAAAATAAGCTAGGGATACATTAACACATGAGATTGTCATTGATTCTTTTAGAAGTAAAGAGATGGAGATTAAGGATGAAAAAAAGGATGAGCGGAGTAGAAAATGTTTAAGCAGATAAATTTTGGTAGAGCTAAAGACAGTATTGATTCAAATAGTGACTCAAGTGATGAAAGTGATAAGAAAAAAGGCAAGGAATGAGACAAGTCTAGTGGTAAGCGGTGTTACAACCGTGGTAAGTCTGGATGCTTTGTAAGTGATTGTCCCAAGAAGAAGGATAAGCAGAAGAGTGAAATGAGAGGTGAGGCAAATGTGGCAATAGGGTCGAGTGATGACCCTAGTGAGGTTTATTGAGAGTAAACTTATTTATTGCATGTATATCTATGTGTAATTCTTTCTGCATGTGTGTGATTGATTAATTTTGTTGCAAGGTCATATGTTGCATTTCAATATGTTTGATATGTATATTTGTATAAATTTGAGAGCAATTTGATTACTTGGTATAATTG